TTTCATTCTCATTTACATTTACAGTTGAAGAAGGCTGATTATAACATTGGGAAACTCCCCACAGTTCCCTGTGCTGTCCTGTCAGCAGGCTGATAAGATCACTTTATGAAATACATCTTTGCACACATATACTTTCAAAATGCGCAAAGAAACTTTTTATATACATACATATATATATATATAAAAAAACCTCTGGTCTTGGGTGTAGTTAATAGCTGAAGTATTGCTGCTTATTTGTCTTGCGTTTCTGTGAAGGACCCTTGGGAAGTGTGACATGTTTCAGAGAAAGCAGTGGCACCTCCTTTGGGAGCAAAGGCTCCTGGATGTCCAGGCTGAGAGTGGCAAAAGTACTATTGTTTTACTATGGTTTAGTAGGGTTTTGCTTACCTCACAAGGTAAGCGTGAACTGGAGTTTCTCCGGTGACATAAGTTAATATATGAAACTGTTTGTCCACTCCTCCTTTCTCTGTAAACATTAATACTTTCTCCTCCACTCTAGTTTAATAGTTAATAATAGTTATTTGGGCATGCGAGAAGGTGAGTTTGGGAAGTAAGAGTTGTATTTGAAAGAACTGTGAAGACACTCTACCTGTAGTAATAAAGTTCATTAATGAAATAAGCTGAGGCATGTGAAGGAATACTCATTCCTGCAAGTTACAAAACATGTCATGCTGGAATGCGATCCCAGAGATTAGCTTAAAGGCAGGGGGAGAGGTGAGCAAACACCAGCAGTGTAAAGGTCGGCCAGGCGGAGGCACGTATGCCCCTGTAATGCTGCGGCATCAACAGGGCTGTCCGAGCGGCCACCTGTGCAACAGCATTGCTTAAAATCCCACCAAAAAAACCCATACGTAACACATTATATGTGAGGATAACACATTAGATAAGAAGAAAAAAATGAGGGCTATGGAAACTGATGTTACCGCCTCGCTCTGCTGCCTGCTAGCCGCCCTGCGTAGAGGGACCCAGGGCAGCCGTCGGTGCGCCCTTTGGACGGCTCCCAGCAGCTTGCCTGTGGCCCCACGGCACAGCGCGGGATGTTGGTGCGCGGTTTGCAGATCGGGAGGGTTGGTTGCGCTTGCGGGAGAAGGTGCAGTGAAGTGTAGGGACTGCAGGGATGGGGCGGTTGGGCTTTAACGGTAAAATCTGTGTACTTCACAAAATGTTTCTGTATCATCGCAGTGGTGGTAAAATAAACTGTTCTTCAGCATATTGCAAAGTGTCACAATACCATGACATTATATAGTAAAAGATCCTGGTGACTTAAAAACTCCCACGTTGCAATATTTGGCTGTATTTTGCAGTTCTTTTGCAGAGAGAAGAGAGAATTCTGTTAGGAACGTAGCCCAGTTTTGCTTTTAAAGAAATGTAATTTCAGCACATACATAAATATTTTTTCCCACCCTCTGTTGTAAGTGTTCTGCCCTCTTCAGCACTTGTGAAGGCTGTGGGGTCAGTAGCGGTTCCTAAGGAGTCGGGCAGTGCGTAGCATCCAGCCACAGCTCTTTGAAGAGGGAGTAAGGGAAGATTTTCTCCTTAGAAAAGTCAAAACTGAGAGGCTCTTACTTCAGTAGTTTCTCAGTACAGAATGTGACTTTTTTAAAATGAAATTTGTCTTAAAAATGTTTTACTTTGAATGTCGATCAGTTTGAAGCAGTGAAAAATAATCCTGGCATAGGATGTAGTGTTGGCAAGTTTAAGAGAATCACTCCTTGATAACCCCAAACTTAAGAAAATAGTGTTCGTGTTTTACACATCCTTCCTGTCCTTCCCAGCAACTGTTGCATTTACTGGGGTTACAAGTAGAGGAAAATAAGGGGAAAAGGCATTTTTACAAAGATGACAATCAGTGAAAATAATATTTCTTATTCCTGTTACGAAAGCATTATCACATGACAGCAAGTGTGTCAGAATTGCCCTGACGATGCCATTCAGGATATATCCATACAATTTAGCTGGGGTATGGGTGAATGTTACTTTTTGTCAAAATAATATATGAACCAACATAAAAGAATTCATACATATACTGTTTATGACTATTGACATTGAAATTAATTTCTCTAATATACCCATTGAGGTCTGAACTTTCTTTTTGCCTTGAACAAGTTTTTTTTGTCATAATTGGAGGTAGCTGAACAAAACACCCTCTGTTCAGGTCCGGGTCGGTCTGTATTTTAGAGCTCACTGTCAGCACTGTACCCGCATGCCCCCCTCTCCATCGCCTGTGAGCAAAACTGCCCTTTTGCTGGGGCAGAGTAAGCTACACTGGCAAAATTCAGTCCTGTTCTATTGTGGTTTTCCTAAGGTAACGTAAATGCATTTACATGAGCGGCACGTTTACGTCGATTGTGTGCCTCTCCCCCACTAAGCATCCCGTAAGCTGCACGTGGTACACATGGTGCAGCAGGCACATGAGCAAGCGTGAATGTAGTTTGTACGAGTAGAACACGGATAAAGGGCATTGATAAAGTGTGCGGCGGAGCTTGGCGGGTCTGTATTTTGTACCGTGACTGTAACACTTTGCTCCTGGGAGCAAAATCATCTCTAGTGCTAGAAATTAACTCCTACCAATTTAACTGATTAATCAGCGGGTTCTTCTTTGTTCTAGGACTGTACAAGAAATCGGGCAAACTAGTGTTTCTTGGCCTGGACAATGCTGGAAAAACTACGCTGCTGCACATGCTCAAAGATGACAGACTGGGACAACACGTCCCCACGTTACACCCCAGTAAGTTAATATTGCTGGTTCCATAGCTAGAAAGTGTTGCAGGAAAAGCAGGATCTGATTATACACTGTAAGACCAACAGTGTAACTGGGGAGAACAAAGGAATTTCTGGGATTGTAATCTGTAGATATTTGAAGTAATATTCAGAAAAATATGTGTAGGGTAGTTCAGTGTGGTATATTTAAAATTAAGAGGTGAGTAACAAGCAGAATGGTGGAGCTGAGAGTCTAGATTACAGAAGCTGTGGGAAATTGGGGCTTGCAGTGTTTGGGAGTAGCTTCTCTGCGCAGCTGGAAAATGAGCATTTCTGTACACTGTTTTGATTTTTTTGGCTCAGAGGTTGCTGTGTAATTGTTATCTTGGTGGCCTCGCAGGAGAAAAAGTTCAACACAGGTTAAAAATGTGGATTGGTGAAGTCCAGTAAGGAGGTGAGAAACTGGGAAAGGACGTGAAGAGGAGAAACCTTGAACAGTATTGTACATGAAACGCCATCTTTGTGGCAAACTAGATGCCAGAGCCAACTGTTGTTTGTGTAATGTGTAGGGATAAGTAATGTACGAATATTCTCTGCTGTTCTTAGCATTGTAGATATTTCACACGTGTTTTAACAACAAAATGCTATTAACCATTAAACAAATGTCATTGATTTTGAGAGAGAATGTATTGTTCTCATTTGTTTCTTGAATAACAAAATACTGAAAAGACCCAAGACAGAAAGTAAAATCTACATGCTAGAAGGTTAGACTGTTCTAATGCACTGCATAATCTTCACAGAGAACATAATTCTGTGTATTTCTAGCTTCAGAAGAGCTGACAATTGCTGGCATGACTTTCACTACCTTCGATCTGGGTGGACATGCTCAAGGTAAGAGAATACGTTGACTCATTTCACTGAGTTGAGTTAGAGTTGTCTACAGCCCGTTTGTTTCGGATCGGAAATATGACCATGCTGCAGAGATCGGCTTCCCACACTCTTTGACAGTATAAAAAACTTTCACTGCTCTGTTGTCCGTCTCCACCATTTATCACAAATCCCAAATACAATTTGGGAAGAGCTGCAGTAGAGCATAATTTTTTGACGGCTATCTGTATTTTGAAGAGGATTCTGTACTTTGAATCGCTTACGTTTACCTTTAAGCTTCAAACTTAGCTTTGTTGACATAACTCTTGGGGAAACACAAAGTTTCACTACCTCAGTGTGCATGTGAGAGAGAGTGGTGATAACAGTAAAGGAAATGATACTTTTGGTCCATTATTTCAAGTTTTGTAAAACATGAAGTTGCATCCTGAAGATTGGTAACATAAGCTAAGACTTCAAAAAAACCTGTTGTTTCTTAATTGCTGATGTGCATCGCTCTGAATTTTGGGATCATTTCCTTTTGTTTTTAATTCACATCTTCCCTGTAGCTCGCAGAGTGTGGAAAAACTATCTGCCTGCGATTAACGGCATTGTGTTCTTGGTGGACTGTGCAGATCATGAAAGATTGCTTGAATCAAAAGAAGAACTTGATGTAAGTTTAAATAAGTCTTTGAAAGTTTTAACTGTAACTTCTAAGAAATAAGCTCAAATTCCCAGTATCCAACAGAGCTCTGCTGCCACCTGGACATGAGTAGTAGCAACTTGACCTTCTATATTCTAAATTAATCTCTCCTCCTTTCTCCTTTCCTTTGCAGTCACTAATGACAGATGAAACTATTGCTAATGTGCCTATCCTAATTCTTGGTAACAAGATTGACAGACCTGAAGCCATTAGTGAAGAGAGGTTACGAGAGATGTTTGGTCTGTATGGCCAGACAACAGGAAAGGTAATGCTCCTTTTTTTTTTTTTTTGGTGGCTTTGGGTTTTTTTGTTAGGGAGTTTGCTTGCATTATTTGTGTATTGACTCCAGTTCACTCCAGCTACACAAAATAAACGTTTTTTAATTTATAAAGTACTTAGTACATAATAACTGTATATGGAATGAATGAATTGTGGAGCCTCTTTTTTTACATCATATTTAATGCCACATTTTTTCCAGAGAAAACTTAATTGTACTTAGGATAATTTTTAGTACTTCAACTTTCCTATGCAGTACTTTAAAAGGATGAGCAAGTTCTCAGAGGCTATGGTTCTAGTGAGAACTGTAAGAGAAAACTGGATAAAGTCTTTCAGTAAGTGACTTTTCTCGTTTAAAGTGCAGACTTAGTACAATTTGTTACTTAACATATTTACCTGAAGCTTAGAAATAGATTTACATCATTGTAGAAGTCTGAGTTTGTAGGTTGTGAGGGGAAAAAAAGTTCCTACTGGCATCGGTAGCAACAAGGCAGATTTTTATTATGGATCTTTGCGATACTTCAACTCTAATTTAAAGTAAATACAGTGTACTACATAGAATCATAGAATCATTGAGGTTGGAAAAGACCTCTAAGATCATCGAGTCCAACCGTCGACCCACTAAACCATGTCCCTAAGTGCCTCATCTACTCGTCTTTTAAATACCTCCAGGGATGCACCACTTCCCTGGCCAGCCTGTTCCAATGTTTAACCACTAACCACTCTTTTAGGGCTGAGCCCTGGAGCTGCGCTGCAGGAGACACCCGAGCAATGCAGGGATGGTCCCTCCCGGTGGCCCAGGCCTGACAGCCTGGCCCGGGTGAGCCAGGAGACAGAGCTGGGAATGACGCCCGCTGTCGTGGTTTAACCCCAGCCGGCAGCTCAGCACCGCACAGCCGCTCGCTCACTCCCCCCTCAGCGGCATGGGGGAGAGAATCAGAAGGTTCAAGTGAGAAAACTCGTGGGCTGAGAGAAAGACAGTTTAATAGGTCAAGCAAAAGCCGTGTGCGCAAGCAAAGCAAAACAAGGAATTCATTCACTGCTTCCCATCGGCAGGCAGGTGTTCGGCCGTAGGAGCCATTTGGATACGGGGCACTAGAAACAAGTTGCTCCGTTGTCCTTTGCCCTTGGAAAGACACCTCTCCGCAGCTGACAAAGCCGTTCCAGTGTGGCTTCCGTCCCAGCTCCCATGAGATGACCAGCAGTGTGGCTCTGCTGAGGAGGGCACCTGGTCTTGTAATTCCTCTTTTCCCCTAAGAGTATTTACTCTTAGATGCTTCCCTTGAAGTTCAGTGCCAGTCAGTGGTTAGGTTGAGCGGGAACAAATCTTTACCTTCTTGTTTTCCACGTGAAAGAGAATTGCACAGGTTAGTTCTAGAGTAGGTGTAATGGGCTATAAACAGTTACTACTGACTTTTTTTTTTAAATCTTGCCCTGGTTTTTACAACACTGCACATAGTCTATGAAGTATGAATACTGTTGTGAATCTCCAGTTGAGCAACAGCTTTATCACACTGTGCTGACCTTGGCAAGCAAGCAACTTGCACTCTTGCTATGGTCAGTCCTACAATTGGTAGCAAATGTTCTTTTTAATCTGGTTGGAAAGCTATTAGAAACAGAGCAGGGAACTGTGACTGAAAACTGAGTATAAGCTCTCAAATTCTCTGTGCGCGTGCTTGCTCTTGCACTCTGGTTTTGTGTACTTCACCCTCTCCAATTGTGGATGCACATGAAAACGTGCTCAGTGTATTTCTCAAGTGACCCTAATCTTAGTAACGTGTGCAAGTTTTAGATTAATTTATTTTCTAAAATTCCAGCATCCAACACAAGTTAAATAATGGCATTCCATAGAAACAAATGTCCATGTAAAGTAGCCGTCTTTTTATAACGATACTGTAACTTGGAACACTTCTGTCTCTCTGCAGGGCAGTATACCATTGAAAGAATTGAACGCAAGGCCGCTAGAAGTGTTTATGTGCAGCGTGCTAAAGAGACAAGGCTATGGAGAAGGCTTCCGCTGGATGGCACAGTACATTGATTAATGCCAAAATCGCATCAGTATGTTCTGTCCCATGTCTGAATATTAAGTCTGCTCCTTATTTGATCACTCAGTGTACGTAACTTGAATTCATTTGACTGTTTAGTTATAAAAATACACATTTTTAGCTAATTATATCATGTATGCTAAATTGTAAGTGTGAGGATTGAAAAATTATTTCGGGCAAGTTTGTAAGTTTAAGTACCACAACATGTGAGCTTTCTAATCCCATGCAACATTCTTTTGCAGCTTTTAATTTAACAAGTCTCCGGCACCATTTTTGGTCAGAGCAACTTTCCAGTACAGTATGTTTGAATGCACTTTTTAACAGCTAAAAACTACGAACATGTGAAAAATATTTAATGCTTATGTTAAATTTTTTTATGTACTTTTTTGAAACTGGTTTTATAACTTTAGAGTATATAACCATCTTTCAAGGAATAATAAATAATTAGCTGATGGATAATTGCATGATGCCTTACGGTTTTCAATAATATACTTTCTTATGCAACGTCATGCAATAAATTTAAATCCAGTTTTTGGCAACTTTAATGGAAAATGTTTCATTTTAATGTGTCTTAACTAGTGAGGCTGCCTGATGATCTGAATATGTGGGATATTTTCCTGAAACACAGAAGGCCACAAAGTAGTTTCATTGTATGTTAGTGAGGTGGGTTTTTTTTCAGACTAGCCAATTGCATTTATCTTATGATTTTGCGTTAGTAGAAGAAAAATCTAATCCGATGCCCTTATAACCACCACCTTTAAAAAGTACAAATAATGTAAATCAGCTGTGCCAATGTAAATCTTGAACTAATGTCAAAAGTGGTCTTACCCTACTGGTCTCTTGAATTAAACCCCTGAAGCGACACAAGAAATACAGGTTTTTTTTCCAAAGAAATTAAGAGTACCGTTGCACTAAATATTCTGTTCCTAATTTAATTAGATTTGGGGTCTGCCAGAAGATTTGCCCATGAAATTGCCAGGGGAAAAAAAAATGTTGCCATTGCTGCCTGTGAAAATTTATCAGCCCACACCCAATCGGCCAATTTTATTTTTGGTGTTTTGAACTGGGACGAGATGGATTGTTTTCTGTGGTTTTGCCCTGAAACCTAGCCAGTGTGGCAGCTGCTGGCTGCCCAGGTAGCTTGTTTCTGGGGTAAAATTTGGTTATCCGCAGTCCTTGTTTCCAGACTTCTGTTTTTCCCCATCTTTGAGTGCATTAGTTCCCCGAGGAGAAAGCAGGTTATTTTTGAAGAAGGGGTGTTGAAGCATGTGTGTCTGTCGGTGTCTTGTTGATGCTGGCTGACACTGCCGCGGAGCTGTGGTTGGTTTGTGCTGGGCATGTTTTACTGTAATCTGTCGAACGCGGGTAGGATTTCAGCCCTGGAGTCACCCTTTCACCCTGATGGGTTTGAGTTTCGCTGTGTAGTTTGTTTCCCCCTTGTAAGAGTATGAACTGCTGCAAGTGGTTTTACCGAATCCCTTTTACTCACTGTTGTAGGTCTTCTCCAAAATACTCTAGGCCTTACGTTTCCAATATCCATGGCAGCAAATGTATTTCTGACTGGTTTGATTTCATAAATAACTTTCTCTTTTGACCTGCTGGGCTTGAATCTCAGATTTAAAGCCTATAGGCTCATAGCAAATAAATGAGACTTATTCCTTGCCCAGATCTGAACTCGTATGATTGAATATTGATGATCAGTTCCCCACAGGCCTAGATTGTGCATCGGAATAAGATGAATAATTCAGAACCTAACTAATGTAAATTGTAACTGAAGTTTATTACTGCACAAACATATGCAAAGTGTTAAGCCTAGTTTGTGCATGGTGAAGTTCAGAGTGACGGTATCAGCTTTTCCAAATGACCAACATAAGAGAATTCTGCATTTAAACTAGTGCTCAGCTGTAGAGTAGTGTCTCTGTTGCATAAATCAAAACTGGAGGTAAGAAATGGCCTCTCACCAGCGTGTGGAAAATGTGTGAGTCTTTACTACCTACAGCCGTTATGTAGGGGACATGCCTTTTTTTTTTTGTTTGTTTGTTTTCCCTTCTAGATTTTTGGTTATAATGCAGAGAACAACAGCTAAACCAGTAGATGGTGTAAATATTAAAAATACTACTTGCAGTCACACTGTGGTGTTGATGTGGGAGACTTGGGATTGTGTTGCCTGTGCTTATGGAAATGAAGCTGGAGGTGGAGGTGTTCTGCTGCAGACCACTTCCACAGGCTGAGCCATTACGTGGGCGCTGAGAAGTCCTCTTCACCTGCTCTTCCAACCAACTGTGAATAACATTAGCAGTAAGGAAAGGGGTGACAGTATTAAGAATTAAAAAAAGAAGGGAGGTGATACTGCTTTACAAGTGTGTGTTAAGAGTAATTCTTAGTATTATGGAAATACTCAGATTTCATATTTCCTGCTGTAGGATGCTAGTTTAAATGTGGTTGTAATAAGGGCATGAAGAAATCTGGACTGTGTGTTTATCCACCTGAGTGTTGTAATGGTTCCCGTTGTGGGAATAGCTGATCAACACTCAGTTAAATACACAAATAATCTTGCTCTGTTTTATTTCGTTCAGTAGAGGAAGTATCTTTCTTCTGTAGTTTACATTCTGTTGTGCACATGAATGTGAATGGGTGTTGTGTGTCTTTGTGTGAAGACTTCATTAATAGACAAATATACTGATGAGAGTTTTTCTGGTGGTTTTCATCCCCACCCCCTCATCTCCCCGGTCATTTATTTCTGGAGGTTGCTTATTCCTATGATTGTGACCGGTGATACTTAACTTAAAAAAAGCAACATTCACATTTGGGTCCGACCTCTACGATTTTTATTTCTTTTTCCACTCTTGACTATGCAGATTTCAATTAAACATCACTTTAAAGAATGTGAAAAAGAAAACTCATTAATAAAGATGTTATTTATGAAGTGTCTCATTTTGTTTTTACATCGCAACAGTTCTTTAAGAGAAATGAATGTAGATTTCTAAGATACTAATAACTACTTCTGACAAAGTGGCCTGTATTTCACTGCAGTGACCCCATACGCTGGCATCTATGCGTTGAATAAGATTTATTTTGCTTGGATTTAATTTAAACTTGGGTTTTAGTATGTATTGTGTAATTGAGAAGCATTGCTGTATTTCAGTCTTGGCTTAATAAATTTTTCAGCAACAATTAATTGGCATTGGAGATGGGAAGGATCTTGGAGCTTTCTCATTTATCCTCTTGCCAGATCAATATTATTTCATTAATATTTCCGTATTCAGTGTTCAGGTACTGTCTATGATGTGCCAGAGATGACCTATGGCATTCACTGGAATTCAATACCCGCATGCACGTGAGCTTTATTGTATTTTAATAATTGGAATGGAACATCAAATAGAACATTTGGCATCCACTTATTTATAACTAAAGTCAGGTCAGAAAAATGATGGTGGTGGTTTCTAATCCCAGTGAATTCACAGGTCTGCTTGAAGTCGAATTGTTCTTCTCTTGTTTGTACTGTCAGAGTATTTGGTTGTTACTAACCGAAGTCCAGTATTTCTACTGACTACAACATGCTCAGATTTGGTGTAGGTAACGTAATTGTTAGCTATGAACCTAAGAGTTATGTTAAAAACAGCCGAATCCACTGGCTGTCGTTGGGGACATGTAACTTATTTGTATTTAGATAAGCCACTCTTTGCACTAATATCTCAGTGTGAAACTAAACATTTTCCATTTTGAAATGTGAGTGCTCTAAATGTTTAAAAGCATAATTTATATAATAAACTGCAGAAGAAAAGCTAAAGATGAAAGTGTTCTTAAACATGTTCTTATTATGGTGTTTGTTATTATGTTATCCGATCCCATGCTTTTGAAATTGAAGTATCGGGAATAGAAAATAAAATTCTGACTTGGAATTTGAAGAAAAGGAGGTTTAAACAGATAGTTCTTGTCAAATTATCAAAACCAGGAAAAAAGCGTGCTGACTTAGTACATGGCCTAGCAGTGAGTTTGGGTTTTTTCAGCTTCGTAATAATTCAGTCTCTTTGCTAGGATTTTCTGTTCATGGTGCATGGAAGGAAATCCTCTACTTGGTAAACTCTCTGAGCATGGAAAAAACGACATTTCCTTTGTTGCAATTTTAAAATGAGATGGAAGGGTCTGATCTTACAGGCAAATGATACTGTCTTAGAATCCAGCTGCCCTCTGGCATTTGCACTGTTGGTGGGACTGTACTGGGTGGGGATTGCCACTGAGTTTAGGTGCTTATCAAACTGAGTCCACTCAACCCTGTTTGACACAGCCCATGGGGAAAGTGTATTAACCTACTGTGACAGAGAACTATTTTTGCAATCCTAAGTGTATGTTCTCCTTAGTTTACATTTCTCAAATTATTTCTTACTTGACTGCTTTTGAACTAGAATTAGAAATTTGTTTGGTGGTGAGCAGTTATGGTAAAATAATGATTAAAAAAACCCCGTATCCCTTGTTTTTCTTATACCCCATTTCTTACGGCACGTGTCCCATCACACTAAGAAATGTATAATAATATTTTAGCACCTTCGATGCCTTTCATTCCAGGATCCCAAAGCTTTCTGCCTGCTAATGCTGCCTCAACATCCTTGTGAGGCAGAGGGGTTTTGTTATCCTTGTTTAACCTGTGAAGAAAGCGAGGTCCCGCAGGGACCAGGTCGTACTTGGTCGTACTCGGTCGCTGCCTGAATAAGAAGAGCAACACAGCAACCACCAGCAACGTCAAATGAAGCAATGCCTCCCTTAACCTGGGCACCGTTTGTCAGTGTCCTAGAGAGAAGACCGAAGCCTTCATCACATGCAGGCTACTGAAGGTACTGCACAGACCGTGTGTAAACCAATGGCATTTTGGGCCACTTCCCCTCCTATGCCGGCGTTCACAGAAAAAAAAAGCTGCTCTTGGCGTTCACAGCAAAAAAAGCCGCTCTAAGCGTGTACCATTCACTGTCAACTGTGTGGCACCCAACTATGGTAATATTTAGTAGATAAGTTAAAAGAACAGCACAAAAGCTTGCAATGTGTAGAGTGGGTGCAAAGCTTGGATCTACTTGTAATTTCTGATTCTCTTTCCTAAAGGTGCGATGTAAATAAACACTATCCTTGTAAAAGGAGAAAATGTAAAGGCGTACTTCCAGTATTTGGGTCCAAATGCCTGCTTTTGGCACAGGCAAATAAATTTATATTGTTTGGTTAGATTTTCCCCCTGCAAGGGTGGTACTTCACTGTCCGAGTGGTTTGACTAACTCCCAGGAGCAGCGCTAGCTGGAGCAAACCCTTGGCAGTAGCTTGGGGCAGAGATGAGCCGTTGGAGACCTGATCTTAGCAATTTAGTGATACTTGAGTACCCAAACGCAGGAGCAGATGTAGCGGCTTTGTTGGCTAGGGGTGTACTGCCACAAGCTGCTGGTCTGGGAAGGGATCGGGCTGGCGCTTGCAGTAGTAAGGGCAGATGGGGAAGCTGAGCTAAGGAGGGGAACCTGATCTTACCCTGTCGAGAGGATCTGAAGTGGTTCAGGTTTTGTAGCACGCGGGGTTTCTGAGCAAAGGAAGCTGCTCTTCAGTGAGAATGTGGCTCTTGAGAGGAAGGTTGGAATTTGTTTTAAGTTAGTTTGTTAAAATCTTTGTTAAAGGTTTGTTGGAACTTAAAAGCTTTGCTAGCGGCAGGAAATCGGGCAGCGAGCAGGCTGGAGGAGGGGGTCAGCATTGGGGGGACCACGGCGCAGGTCTGCCGTGAGGATTACGCGACCATCTCTAGGAAATACTTGACTAAGTTCCTGGCTGTGCAATGGAGGAAGGGAAAAACTAATTGCTTTGAAAAATGTCCTCTTGCCAGCGAGGTAAGAGGGAGAACAATTATGAACAGGGCTCCTAACGCTGCTCTGCCACAGCTTGTTTGTGGGCTGACCCCAGGGCTGGTATTTGGAAACGCTGGTGCTTGTGAAAGCAAAGGGGAGAGAGAGAAATTAGCTAGTGACAGGAGCTGTATTTCAATCAGTCTGTGCATGCTGTGGTAATGCCAGCCTTTGTCAGGTTATTTTGAAATCCGTCCGGTATCCTACAATTAAGCTGGGTTTTGCTAAGTCGCTGAAAACTGCTGATCCTTGGTTGACTGCTCCCCAAGGACAAAGCTGAGGTCACTTGTTTAATGAACTTGACTTCTGACCAGAGATAAGCACAAGCTGCAAAACCTAAAACCACTTTTTAAGCTCTCTCATGCCTGTTGGCACTGGGAGCTGGATTTTGAGTTCAGCGTAGACACTTGGTTCCAGCCCCGGTGCCCGAATGCCGTTTTCTCTCTGCTTAGATTTTGGTTTAAGTTCAAATAAATTGGAACTGTGAAAGGAAGACTCCTGTATGTGCCACTTAACTCTTCTATTCCTTGCTCTGTGTGTATGTATGTAATATATCTATAATATGTAAATATATATGTATACATATATATACACACAAGAGGCTTAAAATAAATCTGTTGCAAATTTTGTTGCTCTGTGTGTATGTATGTAATATATCTATAATATGTAAATATATATGTATACATATATATACACACAAGAGAGGCTTAAAAAATCTGCTGAAAATATTGTTACTGAGATGCATTAGCATGAAATTGCAGAGGACATTTAGAGAAAGTCTGCTCATAGTAGGTTTTAAAGGCTGAAAAAAAAATCAGGAGGAGTTTGCAGTAGAGGAAATGAAAAGCTTTTGCTTTACTGGTGAATAAATAATTATAGGAGATACTGTGGGAGAAATTCAGATGTGCAGCTACAGTAGGGAAAGCAGCTGGAGTTCTGGGCGCCGCCTGGAGAAACAGCGTTTAGGCAGAACAGAAGGAGGCAGAGCTAATAATATAGTTTGCCTTTTTATAGAGCTTATGCTTTGTTACTGGCATCTGAGACCCTTTCAGCACTGGTATAAAGAAGTTTGGGTGTTCCTACAAAATGAGACGTTTACTCGAGCATTTTTTAGAAAACGCGTCCCATCCGCTTGCTCCTACTCACTGCTCTCTGTGGCAGCTGGCTCTGAGGAGCTCCGATGAAAATCCCCAGAAGAAGGTTATGGTGATTTGACATCTGTACCTGAAAATTCGTCTGTAAAGAGTACTTCTTTTTGATTTATAGTCGTCTTTTTTCTTACGTTCTCCTCTAGTCCTCCTATCTGCTACTGCCACTTCGGGAATAGCCTTTCATTTCCTAATCTGTAATTTGAATTGCCTCCTAAGTTTAAAAAACAATATGACTTTTTTTTTTCCCAGGCTGTTTTGGGGAGAGCTTTTCTTCAACAGTTTGATGTTTAAAATCCTGGGGAAGAAATTTGTAAGGGGGCCCTCTATCAAAGAAGAAATTCGTGTGTTTTCAGAGCCGTTGTCAGGCAGAATGCAGGAGAGAATCAGTAAAAGATTTACGCATGTTGTTTGCCATTATTATTTTTGGGAGAAATGGGGAAAACCAAAAAAAGTTACAGTCACTGCGGTTAGTTGAAGTTCACGGAGCTGCTGCAAGTCTGACTGCAGCAAAGAATGTGTAACAGATCCTCACGCATGTGACTGTGGGATGGAGTCTATTTATGTCTCCATAAACATGAAATTATGAAATGCACGCCGTGGAGATGGTGCTGGTGAAGTCCTCGTCTGACCTGGTCAACCATCACTGGACTTGCACCTCTCTGGGAGTACAAAGTGAATTTGAACTTATTGCAGAACATCACGCTGCTGGAAGATGTTTATTGAAAGGGAAGTAGGTCAGGCAATAAAGCAAAGAAACCACCCAGTATGTTACCAGGTAAGAGGGAAAGTGCTGTGAGTTTCTGTAATAATATCTTGCACAGCTTGTGGACATAAGAGCACTTCACAAAGACAGCGTCTAGAAAAAAAGTCACCCAAAAAGACATGTTTTCTTTTGTACAGTCCAGATTTGAAATAAATTCTTCTTAAAACAGATGTGTGGCTGAAACTTGGATCCTTTCTGCAAAATTTAAAAAAAAAAAGCCTGTCTCAAGATTACAAAAGAAGGGAAAAAAAGATGTGGGAGAAATGGATTATGTATGCTTTGCTTTTGCACTCCTTAGGTGGTACCGACGGTGACCTGCACGGCACAAGGCTGCGGTGGGGAAGGAGCTGGTCCTCTGCCCTGAGTCTTCTGCTGGAGCCTGCCTCGGCCATGCCCTCCCCTGCTGCTGCTCCTCTCCAGGAGATGTGTCCCACCTGCGCTCGCTGAGACCATCCCTGGCACCTCTGCTCTGCATCAGCTCCAGTGCTGAGCTGGCATCCCAGGTGCAAAGGTCAATGATATTCCCCACCCTACATGCTTAATTCCTCCCTCAATACTCGAGGGCGGCTGTAAGTCTGCCCTAAGGGTAGCGTCTCCATGTCCAGCACCCGTATTTGGTGTAGCTCGCTGCTGTACGGAGGCTCAGGCGGCCTCCTTGCGATCCGGAGCCCGTTGCCAGAGAGGGGTGAGCACGCGGGGAGTGGGCTGGGTGCTGGGTTGCACCAGGCAGGAGCTCGTTGGGACAAGCAGCAGCCTGCCTGCCTGTGCAGGCAGTTGAGTGCTGGCAGGTGGGAGGAAAAGCAGAGCCTGTCCTGGGGACTGGGTGAAAAAGTTGTGCAAGGAGGGAGAGCAAAAACATGGAGGGGGGAAAAAAGACCAGTGGGATCCTGGATCTGCTTCATTCCCGGTTTTCTCATTTCACAGAAGAGGCAATCAAACTCCCGCCTCATTGCAGCAAGTGCCTGAGCAGACAGTCCTTTCAAAAACAGATGGTGGCCCCCCGTTCCCACGCAGCATCCCCAAACCTCCTGGAGCAGCATGTGCCTTCACCTCTCTCCTGTGTAACGTAGCCTATAGGGCATGCGTTGCAACCCTGCGCCTGCTCCCTTTAGCCTATATTTCTGTATCTCCCTAGGGAATAATCTGCTCCCAGTCCTGGTCTTTGGGAACTTTGTGGGGTTTTGTGCTAAGACTAAAAAAAAAATCAGGTGAAGTGGAAGGAGCAGCATCCCCCCCGCAAGCCTTCTACAGTACAGGAAAGGTCCTTGGTGGAAAGCTGTGCCTGACGAGGCGGTTTCAATCGGGAGCCCAGGCTGGCATGTTACTGCTGCTCAAGAAACAAAGAAAACCCCCAAGCCCCAAATTGAGCTCATTCCCCCATGAAAATACAGTCCCCCATATTGCACGGCTGGGCGGCTCTGTCAGTAGTGAAGTGTTGGTGACTGCTGTGGAAATTTTGGCTAGAGATGACTTTCAAATGGTTTTCCTCTTAGCCTTCTAAAGGTAAACAAAGGAAGAATTGGCATAGAAGAGTAGGAAGGCAAGAAAAACTAAGCTATGTAAAATTTCATCAATGAGCTGTTTGCTGTTAGAGAAAATCAGGAATTTATGCCCCATGTTAAGCTCATCATGCTGCGCAACCCACTTTTGGGTACTTAACAGTAATCATCGTACTGTAGGTCTGGACGTTCTTTTTATTCTTTCCACTGGTTTTCAAGTGACGTTCTTGCACTTTTCTCTGCCTCAGATGCGACAGCGTTAAGGCTGCTCTGTGCCTTGCGCAATCCTCCTGCCCTTGAGATGAATCTCAACCCAACTGAACCATGGCAAGAGTTTGCTGGAGCGCGCTGCCTGAGCTTGCAGCGGGCTCTCCGCAAACACCGCTCCCTCTGACTCCAGCCGGCACTATGGCTGTGGGACATTTGAGCCGTGATTTATGTCCCACAAGAAAGTGCTGCATCATGTATTTAGGGTAAGGTGCTGAGTATCATTCGCTCTTGACAACCGTGGGATTTAGAAGAAATAATGCATGCAACCTTTTAATTTTGCAAGGTCATTCCGTAGTTTCTTTTGTTTTATTAATTCTTATTCAGTAGCAGAAGTACAGAAGGAAAAGTGCTGAGGTCTAGGTGCATAAGAAAAGCAGGATCAAGCCTTTAATTTTGCACTTTTAAACTCTAAAGGCTCAGTTTTGCTCGTGCAAAATTCGCTCGTCCCTCACGTGCTGCTGTTGGCGCTGCATTTGCTGGGCAGGGGTAATGTATCTCTGCGTGGTGGAGGGGAGTCTAGCTCCAAAAGGGAGATCAGCCTGAACAACTTGCAAGGTATAAAATACTTGGATTTGGATTTCAAAAACTAATGAGGTACAGTTATGATCTGTGTAAGAGCTTCAATGAAGTGGATAATTTGGATGGTGGCCTCCTTTCCCCCATGAATTCTCGTATATGAGGTATGTCTCAGCAACAAGCAGTTACGTTTTCTGCCTCGCGGCAGGCTGGCTTCTGGAAACTTGGTATTTCCAGGTATTTCAGCACTAGCATTGAGATACTTGTGTCTCCTTACAAGTTTTTGTATTTGTATTTAAACAGCAGACAGAGTGTCAGTAAGACGTGGTTCGTGTGAACGCTCTTCATAAAAGACTATTACAAAAGCAAACAGATCGATCACTCCGGGCTTCACGGTTGGGAAGTAAGAACAAAATGAGGCTTAAATAGCGACGAGTCAATGCAGCGATGAAGTACCTATTTATCGGTAAATAAAGGCTGGCTGCCATTGCCGGCTTCGAAGCCCCTGTGCCCCCGAGGGGTTTGGAAAGTGGTGATGCAAACTGATGAGTCACAGTTTAGAACAATAGTTTCTTCATGCAAAATGACTCAGGATAAAAGAAAAACAGGTTTTTCAAGAAGCTGAAGCCTGTGAAATTACAAAAAGCAATAAAATAATAGGACGTCTTTAACCCTGTGTTGAAAGTATTAAATCTTTTTCTAAAGATTAGTGCAGTGGTTGTGGTGGATGCCTGAGACCAGTGGATTAGACCGTACCTGTTTTCAGTCAGCTTTCCCCTTTCGGAGCGTGCGTGCAGAGCAAAAAAAGATCAATACCGTGTGTATGAGCATTAAATATGATGTATATAACAGCACCTCATATAACATCGGATTGCAGTCATTTGTCTGCATCATCCTCCCTACCCTCTTTGTCCAATTTAAGGTAAAGGGTTGGTCCCGCTGAGCGGAGGGCAGCACGGCTCCCCGCGCGGTCCGGCTTGCAGGCGGGATGCTCGCGGGGTGGGAGCTGTCCCAGCCCGTGCGTGGTTGTACGTGGCTGGAGCTCCTGTCCCACGTCTGCAGAAAATACTGCCTGACATCTCACCTTACCCTGCCACGGACCAAACAGCCTCTTCCATGAACTAAGAGCTCTGCTAGGTATGACGCTATGCAAATAACATGTCCTCTTTATTATAGATAACCCCGTTTCCTCCGGCAAGGGTGGAATACACCGCTCTGTAGTTTCTGTGGCCCCACAAACATCCATTTTAGGTATTCTGTAGAGTTTTATTGCAGAAATTATCACCTTAGCAATCTGAATGCAAATATGTGCATTTTTTTTTAAGGATTTAATTACATCAGAACAATTAGGTAAAGGGGAGGGCAAGCTACGGTAATCAGATTAATCCAGCAAGCCAAAAAAATGGTTTCTTTCCTTTCTTGTACTGCATGTATTCACATGATGGGTAGCGAATTTCCCAATACCCTCCCTCAGCCCTCTGTGTCTCGCGCCTTGTTGAGTTTGTCTGGAGTCGGGGAAAGCTCGGGTCTTGCCCAGGGCTGCTGGCATCTCCCCATACCGATGGCTTTTACTGAGTTCAAGTCTTCATTTCAGCTGGCCATGCTCCCCCGGTGGTTTCCTGCTCTCACTGCTTTCCATCCATAGGTGGCAGCAGGCTTTAAAATCTTTAACCTCTCGACGTCGATGTTTTTAGGAGCTCAGGGAGCTGTGCAATGATCTCCAGAACTTTGGTGCGTGGAGCTGGTGTAAGAGGAGCGAATTATTTTCAAGGAACAAAACATCCTTTGCAGCTGTTCACTTAATTGCTCTATGAAGACAAATAGAAAGTCAAACTCGGGGGTAAGAAAGGGCAGATGAGCACCTATTTTGGGCCAGCACACCTTTGCCAAGAGCAGCGATTTTGTCCAGGAAAAATAACGTGGTTAACAGCTTTCCCTCACAACACCTTTGCAAAGAGCAGCAATTTTGTCCAGTAAGTTACCCAGGAAAAATAACGTGGTTAACAGCTTTCCCTCACAAAAGTACGTGGATGAAAAAAGTCACGTTTGTGATGCTGATTTAAGCTGCTTTGCTCAAATTTGCTTTTGCATTTTCTGTATGTCTCTGCCTGCATTTGGGCATCTCTCTTCTCTCCCCCACAGTGATGCTTGGCTGCTGCCTGGGTCAGCCTCAGGTGGCATCACCAAGCGAGCGGGCTCAGCACAGTGGGGACACGGGGACGGCTCGGGGCAGGGTTGGCTGCTCATGCTCCAGCAGCATGTGGAGTACGACCTGCTCCGTGCGGATGTAGCCCCATAGTGATGATAACCCCAGCTGTAAGGGGTGCTCAGGATCTACGGCACTCGGGATCTCCATCCCGGTGCCTCCACCTCCAGCAGCATCACACCGCGGCTGCTCCGGGCTTGGCAATGCCGTGAGCCAGCCCTCCTCCAGCCTCCCTATCCCCAATCCCCTTTTGAGGATGGAGCAGATAAAGGATGAAGGTCAGCATCAAGGTGTCTCTACTCACAGCAGTTTTAGGTTGCCTCCCCCTGCTTGCGGATCCCCCCCTAGCACCGCTCGGCGTGTCCCGGGGAGCGCGGTGCCACATGCCGAGCGCACCGCAGTCACTCTCTCTCTCTCTCTCTCTCCGGTTTGCCTTTTATTTTCCTGTGTGCCGTGCCAGGCTGACCCAAACAAATCAGACTGTGTTTGCAATGAAAAGACAAAAGCTGCGCTGGCCGCAGGCAGGGCTGAGAGGTCAGCGGGCTCCTTGCGAGGCAGGCAAGGCACTTGTTTGGGAGGAGGCAATGAGTCACGGATGCCTCCCAGGGTGATTAATCAGGCATTTGTTAAAACATGGCTGGGCCACGGGTGAGAAAGAAAAGCTCGGATGGCGGGTACATGCTGCTGCGCGGGAGCAGCACTGGCCAAGGGTGAGGGAAACCCTCCATATAAGTCATTATACTTCTCCTGCAAAAATTAATCATTGCTTTAATTGAATGAGAGATTCTTTTCCACCTATCCATTAGCTGATGGGGTGTTGCTGGAGCAATGGTAATGACTTGCTCGGAAACCACAAAGGTGGCAGGATTTTTGACAGGCAGCAGAGCAATCCTAAATGGAACCTTGTAAGCTGTGCGCAGTGCTGGTGAAAATTAAATAAGAAAAAAAAATGGTAGGTATAGTACATATATGCACGGGGAGCTCCGTGACTCAGCCAGGAGGGGAGGCAGCCAAAGGGGAAGGAGAAAGCCTGGGTTTACGTGTAGACCTCCTGGGGCTGCGGCTCTCCTGGGAGAGGGGGGACAATACAGTGTGTTGGGTTCATCTGCGGAAGATGCAGTGAGGGAGCAGGATCAGGCCTGGTGAGCAGAGGAGCTGGGAGAGGACGTGGTGTCCTCGCTGTCTTCTCCGGCAGAGAGGGAGCCCGTCCAGCTCTCCGCACGTGCCGGAGTGGATGCTGTGCTCAGCTGCACCTCGGGGAATTGTGTCGTTCTTCTGGGTGAACAGTAAATGAAGCCGCATTTCCGTCCTCAGCCTTCATTTTCTGATCCTGTAGGGAAAAGTACGTGCTGATTTGTATTTAACTTTTCCTAATAAAATGCTTAAATACATATATTTTACACAGCTTGCTCGCACGAGGCAAGGAGGTGATTTCACCTGATGGGGGTGCAATGCCAGTGCCACCACTGGGACGTGGGGACCCTGTGCTGGGAACTGAGGCTGCCGCGCTCCCTGTGCTGCCCCGGGGCATTATCCTGCGCTGCTGGCGAGCGGGACCTCTCCATCCCCACGGCCCCAGCAGCTACTCCGTGGCAGAGCTCTGAAGTGAAGCACGATCGCTTGTTTACAGCCGTTAGCTGGCATTGCAGGCAAAATTACCCCTATTTTGACACCTCTCAGAAGCTAGCAGCGAAGAGTGACAGCTTTTCCAGGGGAGCAGCAGCTCCCCTCAGACTGCCGTTGACAGTTGCAGATGACAGGAATATGAGGGCTTAATTATTATATAATTAAGTTGAAGTGATCATCTTACGTCTGTTTAGTGACTAACATAAAATGAGCTGGTGATCTCGGTCTAGTTTGCAGTGGCCTTTGGTTAGAAACCACCAGCGTGCGGGATGCGGATGGGTGTTGATGTCCCGGGGAGAAAAGGGGGTCGGGGAGAGGGGTCCTGCCTGGCTGGTGGAGGCTGCACCAGAGGCTGGGCTTCTGCGGTGTTCTGCCCGGATTTGGGTGGCTTTTTTTCTTCCCTACTCCAGGAAATTCCCGAGGAATAATTTTCATGTCAGACGGCTGCGAGAACAGTGGTTCTTCATCCGTTGTAGCATAAAATGCGGATTTGTGCAGGACCCAGGCGATTCGCTATGCAGGCAGGGGCTGTCCTCGGAGCCGGGCTCACTGCGGTCCTGCCTGGCCCGAGGTGGGAACCCTCAGCCTCCATCACCCTCACCTGTCCCGAGCACCCAGGAGGAGGGCTCCCAGTACCCAGGAATACCAGCAAAAAGCAAAGAGAGTTGTAAAAAGCCACTGTTCAAACCACCGATGTATACCCCAGCTTCTTGGTGGCCCTCCGAAATCATACGTCCATGGAAGCAGAGTTCAGAGGATGGTCCCTGTCCAGGATGAGCAGCTGCCACAGGGGTGCAGGGACCCCACTGCTCCGCGAGCGCCCCAAGGCTGAGCCTTGGCGATGGCTGATGCCATGTGTCATGACTGTAAAGGACACGAGTCAAGGCCTCTCTCTCTTCCCGTGTGGAACTGGATTTTTCAACCTTCAATTCTATGAATATAGTTTTTCCTATAAGGTATTCAATATAGTTGTGCCTATAAGATATTCTTATAAGGCTAAAATCCCTTTTAATTTCAGGTAAATGAGGATGCTGGCACTGGTGGGATGCTCAGCCATCATGCCCGAAAAGCTTCCGCGCCCGCAGGTGGGCAGCATAAGGAGGTGCTCTTTAATCCGGCAGCTTCGCCACAGTTTCGCTTTTTGGTGGTTGTTGATGCCATCCGGCCTTGTTTTATTGTTTTTCTCTCAGCAAGAGTGGCGTAGGAAACGTTATAGCAGGTGTTAGGCCATGTTTGTGTTTTAAAGGCATTTCACATTGCGGTTCACATCTGCGTTAGGAAAGCCAAGGAGAGGTATTGCAGGTTATTGTGGGAAATTTACAGTTTAAGCATCGCACTTAATAGAAACCCCTTCTGCTCAGGCTTGGGCTATTACTGTATTATTCCCAGCCTCCATCTGTGCCTGCTGCTCCAACGCGCTGAGTGCCTGCAATTACTTCCAGAAGAAGTTCAGCCTCTTTTTGAAAGCGCACATTTCCCTCTGGCTCGAGCTGTCCACAGCTTTCATCTGAAAAAGATCTCAAAGTGCTTTTTGAGCTGCGTGGCTCTGAGCCGGGGGATGCGGCAGCTCCCGGGGGGGGGGGGG